AGCCCTGGAGGGCAGCCTCCTGGGATTTTTCCCAAAATTAAGGACTTTACAGTAGAAGCCAGAAAGTTGGAACATTGCTTTAGGAGGATTAGTGCTAGGATCCCTTATACTTTACCTTAAGGGTATGAGGAGTCTGATGTTCCAACTTTCTGGCTTCTACTATATGGGGTTTACTGTATAAGGGTTCCTTTAAGGGTTCTTTAAAGGGATCTATAGGGTTTAGGGTTTGGGAGTTTCGGAAAATGGGGGATACCTTCCTTTGGGGTCCTTACAATGGGGATCCTAGCATTTAGGGTAGAAAATAGGGGTACGGTACCTTATTTTGGGGTCCTTATAATAAGGATCATACTATTTAGGGTACCATTTTAGGGCCCCCTATTTTCGGAAACTCCTACATGCGAAACATTCAAAACCCTGAAGCCTCAACCTTGAAAGGAACTTCAGGGATCATACTTCCCTAAACCCTAAACCCTAAACCCTAAACCCGAAACCCTAAACCCTAAACCCTAAACCCTAAACCCGAAACCCCCAAACCCGAAACCCTAAACCCTAAACCCTAAACCCTAAACCCCCAAACCCTATAATAAGGATCATGCTATCCAGGGTACTATTTTGGGGTCCCCTGTTTTCGGATGCCTCCTCGCAGCTCGGACGGAGAGACTCCCATATCCCTAGGGATCCTTAGGGGTTCCTTTAAGGGATCTATAGGGTTTAGGGTTTAGGGGACTCCAATATCCCTTCATTAAGGAATATTCCTTAAATTATAGTAGGATCCCTAATATGATTTAAGGAATATTCCTTAAATTATAGTAGGATCCCAAGTTTGATTTAAGGAATATTCCTTAACTTATAGTAGGATCCCAAGTTTGATTTAAGGAATATACCTTAATTAAGGGATATTGGAGTCTCTGGGGACGACGAGGATTTCAGGACGCGCGCTTTCAGGCTTAGGGCTCATGAAAGAGTGTGTAGGGTTTAGGGTTCAAGGCTCATGAAAGAGCATTTAGGGAGCGGGCTTAGGGTTCAGGGTTTAGGGTTCAAGGCTCATAAAGGAGTGTTTCGGGTTTAGGGTTTAGGGCTCATGACAAGGAAGTCGAAAAGATCCTGATCATGGGGTTCAGGGCTTAGGGTGTAAGGGCCTCTGGGTGTACTGGGCTTCGAAAGAGCCGTGAAGCCAAAGAAAGCTCAGACCCTAAACCCTAAACCCTAAACCCTAAACCCTAAACCCTAAACCCCTAAACCTTTGCCCGTTTCAGACTTTACGGGACTGCAGGGCTCCATGCAAGGGGCTTTAGGGTCTAGGATACCCAGTAGCCTAAGAATAAACAGGCCTCTCTTTTTGCTCTTTTTGGTATTGGGTAACTTGATAAGGAACCTAGGGCCTAGGACTACAAAAAGAATAGAAAGGCCTCTCTTTTTGGTATTGGGTAACTTTATAAGGAACCTAGGACTACAAAAGGGAATAAGGGTACTACTGGGCATCCTAGGGGTTTAGGGTTTAGGGTTTAGGGTGCCGGATTCAGGGATGCGGGCGCTCTGGCTCGCAATCTAGTCGTGAACCAGACTGCCCATTAGCCTCTTTGCTCCCCTGCTATCTCTGGCGAATCTGCGGTCTTGTTAGTGCCCACAGACCTTATAGGACAATCCCAGAGAGCCCAATACCCTTTACTTAAGGAATATACCTTAAATAATAAGGGGATTCATATTATGATTTAAGCTATATTCATTTCTTCAGGGGTATTGGGCTCTCTGGGATGTTTCGGGGGCTGCGTCGGATTGGGGCCAGGATACGGGCCGTCACAACTAGGGAGACTATTGCAATTATGTCAGGCCTCTATGTTAGCTTCAGGGTGGTTCTCTCTCTCTCTCCCTTTCTCCCTCTCTCTCTCTCCCCCTCTCTCTCTCTCTCTCTCTCTCTCTCTCTCTCTCTCTCTGTGTCTCTCTCTCTCGCTCTCTCTCTCTCTCTCTCTGTGTCTCTCTCTCTCGCTCTCGCTCTCTGTCTCTCTCTCTCTCTCTCTCTCTCTCTCTCTCTCTCTCAGAAGTCTTTGTGCACCGCCCTTGGGAACAAGGCCAGCAAATCAAGGCACTGCTTTAGTGCAGGGGTGCAAGAGCTTACCAATTCAAGTGGCCGTAACTTAGGTTTAAGGTCTTTTGTTGGGCTGATGCATCATTACTGCCCTGTTTTGTCTAGGCTGCTATCACTTCTGGTGACAATGGTAGTCAAGTCTTGCCAATAGTACAGGCCTTAGAAATAAGCCCAAAAAACCCACACCTCGGAACCCTAAGCTCTAAACACCTGAAACCCCTGAAGCACAGGCCCTCAAAAAATGAACCCCAAACCATAAAGCAAACTCCTGCGCCAGCGACAGGGGCTCTTTTGCCTCCTCATCAGTCTCCTCCTGGCTTCTCTTTTCTCGCCCTGAAACCTGACCCTCCCAAAACTCTAAGATTCACAAAGCTGAGGGCTTTGGCTTTCGACTGGACCCCGAAAACGCTTGTA